AGATAATAGATGTCTCTTCATGCTCTTCCGTTTGCAAAAATCGGAAATGTCTCTAGCGCACTCTTTCTTTAAGTAAAAAATAAGGAAAGAGAAAAAAACGACCAAAAATGGGCTAAAAGTAAAGAATGTTGCGTTTGCACGGGAATTTTTTTTTAAAGCTCCTACAAGTGTTGTTTGATTACTAAACCTAAAACAGAAGCAAATTCTAGGACACTCGAACATTTTCTTTCCCACAAAAATGCAAAATTGTTTACAAACCCCCTAAAATTTGCGTTTTTTTCGAGTTTTGAGGCTACAAATGGACTGGTAGACTCAAACGAACTATGGGAATCGATTCCTTGCGTCAAAATACGTCTAGCGACACCCTGATCGTGAACTCAAATCAGTTTAAAGCGCCGCTACAATATTTTGCCTTTATTGGCAAGTAAAAGAAATAAAATGAAACTTTGGGAGCTTTGCGCGACCTCCAAATCGGTAGGTATCAGGCTCAATTTTTTTTTCAGAACCCACGAATTATTTTTTTTATTGGCACCCTAACGGCAAGTGCAGCTGATTTTGGCCGATTTGGGGGATTCGTCCCCCACCACTTTTCCCCTTCCCCTGCGCAACCCAGCCTTGGGCCGGGGGCTGGTCTGTGTCCTTCCTACCTCAGTACACCTTTTTACCACCTTTGGTCATGGTACATACTGACTAGGTCGTCAGTAAACCCGCAGAAAGCTCGAAAATCGTTTTAGAACCATTAATTTTTAGTGAAAAAAGCATAAAAATTGAGGTCTGGGACACACTTAGAAGGTGTCTGGTGGCTCGGCCGAGCTGCAAAGGTTGTCTTTAGTGCCAGAAGTGACCACCCGACCATGCAACAGCCACCCCGACGGTTCAAGATGTTATCAGGGGCTTAAAAGTCTCAAAAAGGACAAAAACTCCGCTTTTTCGCATAAAACGTCCGGTAGGGAGTTGAAGTCGTTGTCCAATCGCAAAAACGATGTCATTTCTGGAATCAGCACAAAAAAACGAAACTTTTTGGTGGTATCCAAAAGTCGAAATCGAAAGTGGTGCCAGATCGACGCCCCCTAGTGTACACACTAACAGTGAGGGTTCTAGTTGAATTGAAATTATAAGACCATTTTGAGGGTAAAAACCCACACATTTCTCATAGTGCAGTTTTCGGTCACTTAATTTCAAATAAAAAGAAGTGATTTTAGGGAAACTGTTTGAATGGGCACGGGGATGACAGGTGACGCGCGCGAAGGTGGAGGTGGATGACATCGTGCGTCACTAGAGACAGTAAAAACAACAATACCGCGGGCCGCGGTTGGGTTACATAAATCCGAGCGTAGTACGTATTTGTTTTTGTACATCCTTAGCCTCGAATCAAGTAGTGGGAAATAAAGAGAAAAGCGACGCCTGGCAAGAAGAAGAAGACCAAGGAAAGAGAAGTTAATAATAGAATAGGGAAGCAAATTACGTTATTTGTCTGCGGTGTACCGATAACCCTTAGGGACTTGTTCAGCCGACCCAGCACAGGCACTGAGAGTAGTGGAGGGACCGGCCGGGGCCAAACACGAGCCGGTGCGCTTGCAGTCACCTGTCCCCGCACTGCCGTTTCTTTCTTTTATAGTCCTTTTCGCACCGTCAAGTGGGCGGGGATGGCCCTGACGGGCACCTTTGGCCTCCTCGTCGGCACTCGAGGATGACATTCTTGTACTAAAACTGAGTTGATAAACGAATTTTAAAAAATACCATTGCTATCCTATACTTTTTAGTCTACTTAAAAAATAATATATTTGCACTGGCCTTTTACTGACCCTAAATTTGGATTGGTCATTATTTCTATCCAAACAAAACTAAGTTATTTTTTTTTTTACATAGGATACCGGCCGGACCACATTATTTTAAAAAAAATATAGTGAAAACTCATCGAGGGTCCTTTAAAATACTTTTTCGCGCCAATATGACAACTTCATATGAGCAACGTTTTTGCTTCATGTATGATAACCATTATCGTTCGACTTCTCGCATTTCAGGCGCGGGGGCGTTCATCGTGCCTGACCAGCTGGTGTCCCTGCTCACGGTCGTCTACTCCGTCATCCCACCCATCAAGAAAGGTATAAGCGCGAGTCTGCTAATGTTTTCTTCTTCCTTTTTTTCCAATGCTTATTTCACTTTCGCCTTCTTTGCCTGCGCTTCGTCGTCATATGACCTTTTATAATGCGGCCCTGGAAATAAGCGCGCGCTTGGCTCTGCGTGTGTGTGTGTGTGTGTGTGTGTGTGTGTGTGTGTGTGTGTGTGTGTGTGTGCATGATAGACAGTGTGTTTGTGGGCGTGCATTTGGGTACGGGAATGGAATGGCGTCCTGTGACGCGTATGGGATTTATGGGGAATAATTGCGCTATTCGTCGCGGATGTGTATGTGGAAAGCAGACGCGCCGGGATGGCGCCTCAGGGCAATCCACGCAGACGGTCCTTTAATGATGTGACGACCCCCACCCCCTTTTCTCCTCTCATCTTGTATTGGCAAAAAAAAGAAAACATAAATTAAGTACAAATTTGTCGTTATAGGTTTTTGACTCGTATTATTGTGCGACAACGCCATTTGTAATCAAACAAAATGTTGAACTCACAGGTTGTTATTGAGCAAAAACCGATCGTTGTTTAATAAACCAAGTAATACAACAATTGCGACTCCAACAAAAAAATCTACAGCGTACTTTTCATTTTACCCGCCCGTTTGACTTTCGGCCCGTCTGAATGCCATTAGCGATGCTCATTGAGCACACAGGCACATTCACTCGAGATGAAGCAGAGAGGGTAGTGTAGCGGTCCGACTGCGGCGACCTCTGCCGTCGCTAAAAAAATAAATTAAGAAAATAAGAAACGAAAAGCGCTGCCAATGATTGCCCCATCTCCAGGCACAGGTGGAGCGGAGCAGGCGCAGCGGCGCTGTCAGGCCAGCTCACATTATGAAAGGGGTCGGTCAACAAGTCACAAAAAGGGACGGGGTGGGGGGAGGGAGATGGCATCGCACCTCCGATGCAGCGTGTAAATTTGTGATAAAATCTCTCCCTCGCGGCGTGGGCCGACTCCAGCGGGGCTCCAGTGTCCCCGGCCAGGGGGCCACACCACCTCCTCGGCGTGCGGTACCGATCTCATCTGCCCCTCGCCCAGCGCCGGCCGCACCTCGCCGTCCCCATCGAATTTATTCCCATGCAGTCGTTGTATGTGAGTTTTCGCCGGAGAAAGGGGACGATACGACGGGCGCTCACAGAAAAGATTTCGAAAAAGAAAAGCGCAAACACGCGTAAATGTACTTTCGGGCGCGGGCGCGTCAAGGTACACCGCAGTTACCTCACATCCAGTTCCAGCGTATGGGGCCAGACGCCGCCGTCGCCCCCGCCACCACCCCCGCCCCCGCTGGCCGCTCTTGAAACCTTTTCTCTGCTCGTTTGCTTCCAGGCTCCGACTCGCGCGTGGGCTTCGGCTACCGGTTCGGCCCCTTCGCAGACTTCCAGGTGCTGCTGGAGCTGGGCCCGCAGTCCGAGACGCAGCCCATCGGCGGGCAGACGACGCCGAGCAGCAAGCGGCAGGTGGAGCCCTCGGACGAGGACCCCGGCCGCCGCCCCGACATCCAGCTGCTGGACGGCCCCGAGCAGGTCCTCGACGTGCCCGACCCAGCGCCGCCGAGCAACAGCCGGTCGGCGCGCTCGGGCCCCGCCGGCGTCGTCCCCGGCGCCAACCGCGCCCCACCGCCGCCGCCCCCGGCTGGCACCGACTGGCTGTCGCGGTGGAGGTCCGGCCTGGGCCTCCCGGCGCCCGCGGCTCCGGCACCGGCCCCGGCGGCCGCTAGGGCGTACGTCGACCCCTTCTCCAGGCCCCAGACGCACACCAGGACTGCCCGCCAGCCCGCCGGCTTTGGCTACGGCTACCAGCCGCAGCGCAGGACCGCGCCGACGGAGACCCGGTGGGAGGCCATGCGCCGCCTGCGCAGCCTGTACTGGGCCGGCCAGCAGGGCTGAGGCCTCGGTGGAGGCCCTGGCTGAGGCCGGCCTGGAGAGGCTCCTGGAGAGTGGGGCTCGGTACCTGGAGCTCACCGCAGTCTTCTCGTGGCGGCGGCTGGAGTTTCTTAACATGGTAATGTGAACCGCGACCCACCTCCACTCCAAGGCTGCCGCCCCGGCCGCCCCGGCGCTCCCCACCGCGGGAGCACGTTGGGTTGCCGCCCGCCGGGCGCCGCGTCGCGAGGCGTCGCATGGGCTGCCGACCCGCCGGGCGCACCAAGGGACCCGCTCCAGAGCACGACGGCCATCTTGTGCCTGCCTCGGTCATGCTCGTAGACAACACTCAACACTCAACATGATCCTGTGTATATTTCGAAATAAACACTTCTGCTTCCAAAGAGAGATGTTAAAATAAAATTGAATAAAATCGTTCATGCCGTAAATCCACTACACTGCAGTGTTCTGCGCCCAGTCGTTTGTCTTTCAGTTGTTGCGGACCGCCCTGGTCCCCGCCTGCCACAGCTGGCGGAGCACTTGCAAAATGATGCCCTGCCGCGGCGGTGCCGGAGGGGGCGGCGTCCTCAGCGGCGTCCTCGGCGGCGTCCTGGACGACAACGCCGCCACGGCGCCGCGGAGGTGCGCTGTGGGTGGGGACGCCGTCGTGGGCACGGGTGGTGGCGACGTCGTCCTCGGAGTCGCCGCCGCGGGGTGCGCACGCACCGAGCGCAGGGGCCCTGCACCGTCTGAGCGGGCGCTGCAGGAAAAACCACCGACAAAGTTCACACAATATATCGGGCAATTTCTCTCACTTGCCTGGGGGAGAGGGGGAGGGGGCGCAGTCGTGACCTCGTAGTCCCGCTCCTCCGCCCCTCCGCTCGTCTCCCTGCACACAGCAGCAGCGGTCGCGATCTCTGAGAGGCGGAGATAGCACAGCGGCAGCGCAGCCGGCGGAGCGCAAAACAACAGCCATTAGGGGGTAATGGAGCGCAAGGGGGATCCGATGGACAGGTGGCGCCAGGTGGCCTCTGCTCCGGCCTGCTCCAGCTGCACCCAGCTGCACCCAACTGCACCCAGCTACACCCAGCTACACCCAGATGCACCCAGCTGCATCCAGCTACACCCAGCTGCATCCAGCTACACAAAAATGCACCCAGCTGCACCCAGCTGCACCCAGCTGCACCTAGATGCACCCAGCTGCACCCAGCTGCACCCAGCTGCACCCAGCTGCACCCAGCTGCACCCAGCTGCAGCACCCAGATGCATCCAGCTGCACTCAGCTGCACCCACCTGCACCTCCTAGCTGCAACTCGCTGCATCCAGCTGTACCCAGCACCACTGCAGGTACACTCAGCCGCCTTCGCATTCTCGGCTTACCTTCCCTTCGGTGTTGGAGTGGTGCTGCGCGGGGCCGCCGCCGTCGTGAGGAGGTTGATGGTGCTGACCGGAGCCAGGGCAATCCTCATGCCCCGACCCGCCCTCGAAGGGGCGTATGTTGGAGAGGGGGCGACGGTGGCGGCAGGGGCGGACCACCCCGCCCGCCAGCGAGACAGCCACTCGCCGCCGCCGCCCCCGGTGGCGTCAGCTGGCCCAACTCCTAGCTGCACCTGGTGGAAAGAAAGTATCGTGAATCTCCTTTCTCGGCCTCCGCTGCTGCTCTCCGGTCCAGTACCTCAGCAGACTCACAGCTCTGCCCCTGTGGTCGTCAAGGTGGTTGTCGACCACCTCGTCAATGTGGTGCTCGTCCTGGAGGGGTTGCCCATGGTCCAGGCTGACGTGCCGCTTGGAGTCGTACACCGTGGGCTGCTGCGTGGTCACGACGGTCAGCGGCTCCGTGCGCCGCTGGGGGCCGAGCTCCAGGACGACCTGGGCGTCGGCGTGCGGCCCGAACCTGAAGCCGAAGCCGAGCCGCGAGTCCGTACCTGCGGGCCGGTGGGGTCAGGAACACCATGACGACGATGGCAACGGTCTTTGGCAGAGTCCCAGAGGTGGAGTACCGTGGACGGGTTTCTCCTACCCACGCGAACCGCAGCTGCACTGGCAGAAATGTCATTGCCGAGCAGACGTCTTGAGGTACGGGGAATGCGTGGATGATCCTTGGTGCGTTAGGAACTCCCGCCCCCTCTCCTTTCCCCCCGGTCTCATATGTGGTCCGGTGTTGCGGTAAAGAGAACAGAAGGTTAGCGAGCGGTCCTCGTGTGGACAAGTCGGGGGTGACCCTTGTGACCTTTGTGTGACCACACCTGTTTTACTGCACGTACGCGTGCGCGCTCGTGTTGGCTGGCCAGGCCGGGCCAGGCCGGGCCAGGCCTCAAACCGCGTACTGTACCCCGCCCTCCTCACCACACCGCTGCATTGGTGTTGCCTCGTGCATGGTCCGGTGAGGCGTCGCAGTACAAGAACCGTGCTGATACTTAAATGTTGTTTTCATTACGTTGGTCATCAGTTCTTTAAGGTCTGAAATCCTTGTATATTTAATAATTTTCGCGAGGCCAGCGGGCGTTACTGCCAAACGTAAATTTACGAATTTAGTCGCAAGTCGACAAAAACTCCGAACTACTTGCTACTTGGTAGCCGAAAAGTTACATATTATTTATGTCGCACATTTCTGATCTCGAAGCATGAACAGTAATTTTAGACTGCAAAGTCTCCGACGGTAGGGCACAGGGCTCTAGAACCAAGTTAGGAACGCAAACCTGACTGTATATACTTACCTCGATAATTGTCGTTGTCAAAGACGAGGTCAAGTAGTAGAATCAGAACAAACTCAACGATCCGCGCTTGCAAACCCCTTTCCCTACCCTCAAAAAAAAAAAAAAAAAAAAAAAAAAAAACACTATTGTGTGTGTTGGGGTTTGAGGCGGAAGCTTGTCAATGCTCATCACGTTGGCGGTGGCGTATGGTCGTGGCGGTGGCGCCGCGACCAGCGGGGGACTTCGCCGCACCCATCCGACTCACTGCAAAACCACCGCTGCCTTCTCTACCGCATGATGATGATGTGTGTTACAAGCCCCTCCCCTCTGTTCATCTCCGTTCATGTGCTTCCTCGCCACTCACCCTTCCTGATGACCGGGATGGTGGAGTACAAGATGTGCATGAACGACACGATGTTGTCAGGCACGAGGACAGCGTCGCCACCTGTAACAGAGTTGGCGAGAGTTGGCATCCATGATCACCAGGGCTGTTAACGTTAATTTGAAATGTTAGCGCGCTAACGTTAAAGCGATAACGAACCAAATTAACGTAACGCGTTATCGTTAATACGTTTTGACACACGTAACGCGCTAACGATAACGTTAACTTTAACTATTAACGCCGTTAACCCGTTAACGTTAACTGATAACGCCGTCATCGTTAATCTGACTTTCGTAGCTGAGGGAGCTGCAGAGCGCGACCCGGACGAGCAGTAAACAACAGTTCTTGCTAAAGGCGACAAAATTCAATAGTATCACATGGACATATCCGTGCAAAATGGCTTATTTGTACGCCCTCCCGCAGAAAAGCGTTAACGTTAACGGCGTTATCCCGCTAACCTCAAAAGTAACGTAGCGCGATAACGTTAATGCTTCGGCGTAACTGTAACGCGCTAACGTTACTCGTTAACTAACGTTAACGGCGTTAATAAACGGCGTTAATCGTTAAATTAGCGTTAACAGCCCTGATGATCACGGCGCACTCTACTTTGGCGCCAGCGTTGAAGTCCCCCCAGCAGCACTAGAAAAACGACGAAATGATCGAGCACGGCACTTTTCCAACAGTGCTTTAGCCGCTCTTCTAATCTACGAGTAGAACAGTTTGTCAATTTTAAGTAGTGAACTTCTGTTCTACACTTGTAACTGTCGAACTAAACGCAATAGTTGTAGAACAAAATAGTTCGCCGCTTACAACTGCAGAACTTTTCGTTATACAGAAGATCTGTTTCCGGAGCAGAAAGGAGTTCCCCAGTGGTAATTGTTGAACGTTGAACGTTTTAGTTTTACAGTTATTAGTGTAGAACATAAGGTTGCCACTTTACAAGTGGCAAACTGCACTACACTACTAGGACCAGCAAAGCGGCACTAGCTTTAATACCTTTATGAAAAATATCACAGTGTGACAAGGCACAGTCAATAACTGTTAGTTGGCAATGGCAATTTTAACATCTTTCATCCACCGATGAAATGATGATCCGAGGGGCATGATAAACCATAGCGTCACGTCTTGTCGACGCCGGTCTGTTCCATGCTTCTCTAAAGTCACTTTAGCCGGAGATCCTTTTAAGGTGCTAAATCCTACCGTTTGTTGTTTTTTCTTTGTGCTAGTGGTGTCTTGCATAGAGAAGAAGACTGTCCGATGCTATCGCGTGCCCTGTGGGGCTAGGGCTTTAGCGAGAGCGCTAGCGAGGGCGTTCGACTCTCTAGAGACTCTCGACAGCAGCCACAACAAGCACACAGTAACAAACGTTTTCCCAGCGACGGACCGCGCGGCGCACTGCGCGACCGTTCGTGGGTACGCGCCACCGCTCGGGCGGCGGGTTAAGTACCGCTTGTTCTCATTTTGGTAAAAATGAAAGATGAAGGCAAGTTGGTTATAAAAACGCTCTAAAGGAAAACAATCGCTCATGGCACTTGTCGCGAAACAATAACAGATCCCAGTGAGTCTTGCAGACAACTGTGTGACTAAAAATGCATCACTGAAATAATAAAAATGCAATAAATGTATGTGACGCGGTTTCTTAAACACATACCGTTCGTATGTAGTAGTGCGCTAGTACAGTTCTAAATGGTAAGTAATAAACGTGGTCCAAATAATTGTGCCTACCTATTTCGAGTGAACTCGTTAGTATTGGTGGTATTGGTTTGCGCCAGAGGCTCCCTCCCGCCTCCTCCGCTGCCCCGGTCGCGGTGTCCCGATCGTTTTTGTCCCTCTTTCCCTTTTTCCCTGTGCCGACGCCGCCGCCGCGGCCGCCGCCCCATGCATCACCCATGCGTCCCCATAGCGCTCCTGCGGAGGTGGCGGAGGGGGAGAAACTCTTCTGTTCGACCGGCAGCTTTGGTTTCCTTTAGCTTGTTGGCGACGAACGTCCCACGGCACGCCACTGGATGAATAATGCCCTAAACCCCCACCCCCCTCTCTCTCTCTCTCTCTCTCTCTCTCTCTCTCTCTCTCTCTCTCTCTCTCTCTCCCCTCGTGCGCTGCGGTGCACGGCACAACGAAAGTGTAAACCACCGCCAGCGGGCTGCGCTCCTTTGCGGCTTGTTCGGGTTCACATTGCAGTTGTTGCCGTGTCACCGGGTCAACTCGAGCAGCCCGCAGCCCGGCCAGAGCCTCGGTCGCGGCGAAACCAACAAGGAAATGACTCCGGTTCGATTTAATTTTACAATTATACGACTCCTCACTGTTGTTACGCGAGAAGATGCGGGACCACAGTGGGTTTGCTTAGCTCCGCTTCGGCGGAGCAGCTGCGGGCGTCGGCAAGGGAAGGTAATCTACGCGCCTGGCGAGCACGGGTGCGCGGCTGTGCTGCCTGCTTACCGCGGGGCTGCCGAGCGCCTGCGAGGGTAGGCAATCTGCGCACCTGGCAAGCACGGGTGCGCGGCTGAGCTGCCTACCGTGGGGCTGCCGAGCGCCTGCAAGGGTAGGCAATCTGCGCACCTGGCGAGCACGGGTGCGTGGCTGGGCTGCCTACCGTGGAGCTGCCGGGCGCCTGCGAGGGTAGGTAATATATGTTCGGCTGGGCAATGGCTAGCAACTGCACCCCAACTTACGACTCACCTACTTTCATCATGTTTTCGCTTCAAAGTACGCGCCCGCCCTCCCTCAATAATTTCATAAAATTTTTAAAGACCTACGGGCACCAGCCCAATATATTACTTTACTGACAATACCAGAAGGGCATAAGTCTGCGGAAGTAGGATACATTGTGCGAAGAGCGAGGTTGACCAGCTGAATGGATGTTATAGTTAAGGAACAGTTAAATGCGTGACGTGTGCCTCAAGAAAAATTCTTCATTTGCCGGGTGGTCAATGCCAAAATGTCTAATTCTATCGCACTGAGTTTCGCTTCTTAAGGCACACGTCACGTGACGCGGAGAGGAGTTCGCGAGGCCCCCCAGGCCAGTCCGCATGCTCGCTACTCGTCGCGCATAGTCAACCCTTCCTCCGGACCCGTCGCCACCTAGCGTCGCCGCGCAGAACGTCTTCACGCGCTAGTGTTGCTGAGTAGGCTCCTCTTCCGCTGGCCGAGTCAAACAGGGAGAGGACGAGAGTGCCAAGAAGACCCCTGCTCTTCCTCTCCCTGCTTAGCTCAGCGGCTTAGCTCAGGCGCGTGAAGAAGTTCAGCGCGGCGACGCTAGGTGGCGGCGGGTCCAGGATGAAGGGTTGACTCTGCGCGACAAGTGCCGGGCACGCAGACAGGCCTGGGCCGCATAGCGGTAGCTCGTGCAGGTTGAGAAAGCCTTTCGAGTGTGCTGTGTGCAACAAGAAATTTAACTAATTTTTGTAGGGGTCGATGTTCTGTCGTCGACCCCAATAAGACCCCTCTTCATCGTTTGCTTTCACACTTCACGTGTGTGACGATTGCACACCACGTCAGTTTCATGCACAGTGAACTGGGCTGACCTCTTTGGTCATCTCCGCTTGGGAACGTACTTAGGCCCTTCTGGTTTCATTTCTCATTAATGGTATATTATTGGGCCGCGTGTTGGCCTGACGCGAGCCGTCCGAGTGGGACTGACCTGACGCGAACAGCAACAGCAGCGTCAGCGTCAGCAGGGCCCGGATCTTCATGGCTCATGGCGTTGAGGTGCGCTCCGCTCCGTGCTGACGGTGCTGACCCTCGGTGACCAGTAGTCCTGCGGTGGGCGTTGACCAATCCTGCGCACATCATATTGCAAGGATTACGCTCGGGCAGCCCTCAATCACGCACAGCGCGGCGAGCAGCGGGCCACTGCAGCCGAAAGTAATGACGGTAATGACAAATAATAACACAAACTCGGAAAGCAGTGTAGGGGGCGCGTGTGAGTGCGAGTGAGATGGTTGTTGGCGAGGAGGAGGCTGGGGGGCGGAGCGTCGCGGAGCGTGTCTCATCAATGAACATCAGCCTGTGCCCGCCGCGCAGCCCATGGACCACAGAGACGAGAAAGCCCATTCCGGGCGAGCTGCTGACGGCCAGGCCGCGGCCCTGCCTGGTGTCTAGGGAGCGCCCCGCGTCACCTGTCACCTCACCTGGGAGAGGTGGGTGTGTGGCAGCTTGGTGGTCGTGACACAGGCTCATCCAAAAAGTGTGCGCTGGCTGTCCCTGCTTGGGGGGGGGGGGGCATCTTGTGGCGTTGGTGTGGCCTGTGCGGCGTGGTGCCGCCGCCTGTCCGCTCCCACACAATGGGTGAAAATACCCGAGGGGCCTTATGTGCCGCGGCCGGGCCAGCTGGCCGAGGGGAACCCCTCACTCACCACGACTGCAGAGAGCTTTCATGTGGCAAGGCGACTACCCCCCCCCCCTCTCCATCTTCAACACACACACACAGTGCAGGTCGCATTTAAAAACGTCGTCATTGTACGCAAAGGCACTCGTTTCGAATGGCAGGGAAAGCGGGAAAGCCCTGGACACATAAGCCCTACCCCACCACCACCACATAAAAACCGCTCCTGCCTGGAAAGGACTTCGCATCCACATGGACAGAACTAAGCGAATGGATGTGCCCTTGGGTCTGTCCCTTCGTCATTTCCATGTATATTTATTTCTCTGAGTATTTTCAGAGAGACAATATACATTGCGAATAAATTGTAAGCAAAGTAAGTGTTGCAGCATACAGAGGCGTGGCTGCGGACAGGCGGGCGCGATTGTCTTGCTATGGGCTGTATGCCTGGCGCACGTAGCAGGGACGCGGGGCCCAACAGGACCTGGCAGTACCTTCAGCGAGGAACAAGGACCTCAGCAGCGCCTCGTAACAAGGGCCTTTGAGAGCTCTATGCAACAACGTGCGAAAACAGTTGGTTTTCTGGAGAAGGGCCATAGCATAGCAGTATTAAGCAGGGTGTATTAGAGCAAGTCAGGGTCAGGGGTGGTTGCAGCCAGAAAATTGTATCCTTAAACCAAGGAAATTTCTTTTTTCTAAGGTGATTTTTGAGCTTGATGGTTTAAGGTTTTTCCAATTTTTTTACAGGAAATTAAGTAAGTAATTGTTTTAACGACATTTGCTTTCAGTTGAAGACAATTTTCCTTGTATTTCTTGAGGTAAATATAGCGTTGAAGCAACGCATTTCGCATTGTTTTAAGGATACCATTTTCTGGGTGTGGGCCTGATAGGCACTCGGCATTTAAAGGCCTACTCGAGTATATCCCCAACGAGTGCCAAATGGCGCAAAGGCGCAAAAGTTCCTCGTGCGCCTCTGTCGGCGCCAGTAAGAAAGATTCATGAGAGACAGAGAGACAGACACAGCGAGAGCGAGAGGAGCGAGAGAGACGAGGACCGTGGGAATGCGAGGGTGATGGGGGGGGGGTGATGTGTTTCAGAGAGAGAGAGAGGCGAGAGAGAGAGAGAGAGAGAGAGAACGCGCGCGCCTGCTCAACGAGCCCCAGCACGCCCCCGCCTGCGCCAGTTCGTTTGTGAGAGGTCCTGATAAATACAACGCCCTCCCCTCCTCTCGCCCCCCCCCCACACAAACACACAAACACACACACACACACACACACACACACACACACGCACACGCGTGCACAATGTGAAAATGGGAAAAGCGAGCGCAGCACATTCGTGCCGCAGCCGGGCGGGTCAGAGTCGGGCCTCCACTTTACTATGCGGTCTTGTTCGTGATGAGCGGAGTCACCTACAAAACAGGGGGCAAAGGGCGTGTCTCGCACGTACTAACTACACTGAATCTAGCAACAAGTTGGTCAGTGGTGTTTCTTCTGTAACCTAAGAGAGGAGATCCCCCTACCCCCCCCCCCCTTTACACATACTTCTAGTTCTGCTGCTCGCCCGCGTAGAAACCTATGGTATTATTTAGTCAAAATTTTGTCGATGGGCGAACGATACATAAATGACATACGAATGACAAAATTTATGACAAACTGACGACAAATGGTTGACAAAACGAAAATTAGTAATTGTAATTATTTTGTCAACAGTTTGTCAGCGGGATGTTGTTAATTTGTGAAAAAATTTGTGTTAACGCCCACAAATTGAAGACAAACGGTCGACAAACGGTTGACAAAAAAAGGTAGTGGATTGCGGCCAAAATGAAAAGGCAGGCGGGACTGAACCCCGACTCTAGCGATCGGAAGTCAGGCCTCTTATCCACTGGGCCAGAGTGAACAAGTTGGGAGCGGAGCGACGGAACGGCTTGTGTTGCGGCGGACGGGAGCGCGCGCGGCGCGCAGTTCAAAAGGGCTACCGTAAGTGATGAAGGGCTACCCGGTACTAGTTGGTAGTTGAAACGTCGTACCCCGGGATGGAAAGGGGTGCTGTACCCGAATCTGATAATTCCGAAATACAGTGGGATATCAGGGTGGATGCAAGAGAATGACGGCCTTGATCCGCCCTTGGAGTAGCCAGCTCCTG